ATGGTCTAAATCTCCCGGAACTTCTTGGACCAACTGTCAGTGATGTCATCGTCTGATGCCATGTCTTGGTCTGGCCACCCTTGAACCCTTTTTCAACCTAATCCAACTTCCCCTGAGTATGACACTTTGAGGTAGACGGTGAATTAGCATGCGCAGTACATATACAAACCATCTCTGTCGACTAAGGGTTCCCAATCTCATCAATCGACTTACCTGTCTTGTCTAGTACCATTCACCTGACCTCAATATTCCTCACATGATGATTCCATGAAACGTAAGCAATGCTACAATGACTGCCCATAATCACACCAATTATTGGAATTGTTTATTTCTCTTTTGATATTACATCAAAGTAGTCGAAGCTTTGACCATTCGTAAATTTAAACCACCGTGAAGTATGCAGAATTGATTCGTACTCACTTCCAACCTACCTTAACATTCATATATCAAGAGTGTGATATGTTCTGATTTTGTTCTGCCTTTTCTATTCTTATGTTACTTATTGATTGCCCTCATTAACCTTTCCTGTCAATCTTTAGACAATCTCCTGTCAATCCAAACAATAGATTTTTAATACAGTATGAAATTCTCAGTGTGGTATTTAAGCAAATTTAATTGCTGTACAATATTGTTAAATTGAATAACCACCACAGACTAAATAAAATTAGTAATAACTGTATGATAGGCAGGAATACATAGTGACCAAATGTTTTCAGCTTATCGTTTAATTTGTGGGTATGTTGCTGCACATGTTGAAGGATTAGAAATACATCTGTAGGTTTGGTGGCGTGAAAGACTGACTATTTAGTCAGTATAAAAGTTTACACTTTGTGCTAAACATCCTTGTAATAATGTTGTTGCTTTTTAATTATCCCAACGTTGATTAGACTGAAGTTGATCGGTTGCTATTGGGAAGAAATGGGCTGCTGCGTTGATGCATAGATATTGTCTGTTGTTTCAATGTTATATTAGTGATGGATAATTGGCCAGGACTGTGATTCAGGATGCGCGTTCCGTCCTTGATTCCGCTGTTGTTCACTATTTATCACTAATATAAAATTGAAACCACCAGCAGTATTAGGACACCCGTGCAGGGGTGCCGATTGGCCAACAGGAATGGTTAATCCAGTCCACTCAACTACAGCATAATGCAAGCAACAACATTAAAACCATGCCGGTCAGATAAGAAGTGACCATCGTAACTCGGTGGCTTAGTGGATAACGCTCTGGCGTTTGTAGCTGTTGGTTCTGAATTTGAGTCCTAGTGGGAACGATATCGCTTACTGAGAGGCAGGTGCATTCAGCCGACCATTTCCACATGGGACGAACTTCCTTGACTCTGATCCTAACCTCTATCCACCAACGTTGAAATAGTTATGTGATAAACTGTTTTATACGCTCAATAGCCCAGTGAGATCTACAGTGATATATTTTTAAGCATTTTGTTGTTAACTTGTTTGATGATAAGTTGGCAGCATTTCAAGAATACTCGAGAGTACGTCTGACGATTTATTGACAGTTGAATAATCCCAAAAGGAGTAATATGATGTTATATACATATATGATAGGACGTTTTTAGTAGCCTTAAATTCTAAGCAAGCTGCCAACGGACAGTAGTGATGTGGATAGCTTCGATGTTATTGAGTTGATTAGAAAAACTGAAAGCATTTGTATCAACTTGTCATGTCTTCGTTTATTTCGCTCACTCAACATAGCCTACCATAGTATACTGTTTAAGAAAATATTTGATAAACATACCAAATCAATTAAAGTCCATTCACCTCTTCTTCTTCTTCTTCAACACACTGTCCGTACTTCCTATCTTCGTTGTCATCAGCCATCAATTCTATCCCTGGATGGTATTTCCCCTTATCACTATTAATATTAGTAAACAATGTCAACAGAGGATCTGGAATCGCTTTATAGCATTCCTAACTTCGGCGTCTCACATCATCATACAAAACAGAAGACAGGGATGAAACTAGTATAACCAAAGTCAGAATATTTTAGGATAGGAGAAGGGAAAGTAAAGCCAATAACGGGATGCAGTACTACTACCAGTGTACGGTAGGAATGCCTCTACATCACCGCTATCATTCCTAGAATTTTCAATCGTAAATTATTATTATTATTATTTGTAATCCTCCCTTGTTATACTGGACCAGCCTATGTAGGCATATGGGCTTCTATGCGGATCCCTCTATATCACCTGGACACTTTTTGCTATAATTCACTTGGTTTTACTGTGACTGATTTCAACAAACCCTATTTTGTTTATGCTTTAATAGATTTATTGACCCTGGTCGATTACTTTGACCTATGTTGTTTACCTCACAAATGTTGCAAGTGAATTCAAAACCTCTACAGTATTAACGTATAAGAAAGGGACCTCAGAGACATCACGTAGGATTCTTAATAAAGATGGCTGGGATTAGGGTAGCATTTAAACCAACAAACTCTGAGGAGTCGCATACTAGGATAAAACAGCTGTCCAGTGCTCTCACGTTTCGAATGTTTATCCAACTAATTTCAGTCTATAGTCACTATCAACCTGAAATAAATAAATAAATCCCCACAAACCTCAAAAATTGAATTCTACATTCGGACTTGATGTTCTCATCTTCCAATAGACCAAAGACAGGATTTACTATCGCCTGTTTCCTGTAACTTGTAAGGCGCAGACAAATACGACCTCGTACTTCCGCATGATTGGTGTCCAAATGAGGACTCCAACAGAAGCGACAATCCTTCACTGATCCTCTCCAACGAAGGCTTATAGTAATGTGATCTATGTGTGTTCATCGTTGATGTGATTCCGGTGGACACCATGTAAGACAAGACAGTGTCTTTCCTTATGCCTAAAGTAAGTGCTGGCCAGAAACAATAACAATAATAATAATAATAATAATAATAATAATAATAATAATAATGGTGGAGATAGTATGGATAGAGAATTCCAAACGTGTACAGTATAACCATGCAAGGAAGGGACCTGAGAGACATTATGTAGGATTGTTAATGAGGCTGAGTGGGATTGGAGTGACATTTCAGCCTACCAACTCACTTCGAGATGAGCTTTGTAGGTTAAACGATCCAATTGATGTAATTAGACAGAATAATGTAGTTTACCAAATCCCTTGCAACGATTGTTAGGTCAAATACATGTATCAAAGTAATCGACCGTGTTAAATTGGGCTATCCGACCACAAAAGCCTATCTACGTTGAAACTGATGGATTCTAGTAAGACAAGAAATTTAGAGGAAACCTCAACCATAGCTATGCATGCAATTACACACAACCAGACAATAGAATGAGACAGGGTGAAAATGCTTGGAACGAACCTAGTAGAATGGAGAGATATGTTAATGACCGAATCTTTGTTTATCGAATCAACGGGAATGACTCAGCACCTGTTCCAAATATATTGAAAATCCTACTACCCATATCACGATGAAAGCGAAAGGATTAGAACTACACAGAGCGTATCTCTAAGTTGTGTAGTTCCTTCACTGTGTGAAGGAACTCAGATGTGTTTCTTAGATAATCTTTGACACTTTCTAAAATATAGTAAAGATGGATGGTGGCTAGCAGTGGGATCCAGGGTGCGCATTTCCTCCTATTTGGGACTCGTTAGCTGAATGTACCTGCTTCCCAGTGAGCGGTGTTGTTCCAATCGGGATTCCGACTGAGGAGCGATCGCTTCAAATGTCAGAGCGTTATCTACTACAACACCGAGCCACGATAGCCGCTTCTTGTGCGATGGGTATATTTGTAGTATAATTGCTAGTATTATGCCGTCGTTGACTGAACCTAATTGATCGGTCTCTATTGGCATATGGGATCCTGTGTGAATGCCTGCATTCTAATTATAGTAACCGTGGCTAGCAGTAGAATCCAGGATGCGCATTTTGTCCTATTTGGGACTCACTCGTCAGTTCGATGTACCTGCCTCCTAGTATGAGTGATGTTCCCACCTGGACGAAATGCGCATCCTGGATTCTACTGCTAGCTAGTATCCGTCTTAACTATAATTAGAGCACAGGTAATATCGAGGTAGCAGCCAATATGCCAATAGAGACCGACCAATTCGGTCCAATCTACGGCGGTATAATAAAAGCAATTATACTTTCTAGAATGCCTATCTAACTGAACTTGAAAATTTTCATCACATTTATTCTGAAGCAATTTGTTCATCACTAGACTTGATGGAAGTGAAATAGGTTCGATAAGCATACGAGTCGTATCAAACGGAGGGTAGTTTAGAGGTTCAGGCAGTTATCCTTTTAAATATGGTTCTAACTGAGTCATGTACATCTGTTTTGGCAATCAATCCTTTAAGAACCTCTTACATAAATACAGTTTTTATCAAATTTCTAACTCTATACATAGTTTTGTGACTTCTTTGTATCTATTATCTCTTCACTATATCGTCTTCATTTGGCTCATCTCTAGGCTTGTGGAGTAGTACATATCGAAACTCAAGCTCCAATTTTATTTGCAGTGATTGTAATCGAATATTTTATTCAGCTAGAGGTTTAATCTCTCATTATCGTGTTCATCGATCCCAAAATCTATGTAAATATCGTGTTTTTGGTTATTTACTTGTTCTAGTGTTACTATTCACGTTGGTTGTTGACTGTTTGATGTTGCTTGTATTACTCCATCGTTGATTGAACCAAATAGATCGATCATTGTCAAGATATGGGTTCCTGTGTGGAAGCCTCGAAATTACGTGTAGGTAGTGGCTAGCAGTGGAATCCATATGCTTAGTTCGAATCTTAGTGGGAACAGCGTCATTCACTGGGAGGTAGGTACATCCAACTGACGAGTGTCAAATAGGATGAAATGCACATCAAGCTGGATTCCACTGTTGGCCACCATCCATCACTAATATTTCTGATATTGTCTCTAAGCTTCTTTTTTTCAGTCATTCCGTTGTTTGTTTAGATTTTAACACTCCACTCATGTTATTGTTGGTTGATTGTTTTTTGTATTTCAGCGACTCAAAAAGCAATGGAAAGAAAATGAACTAAGGGATTTTCTATTCATCTGTCCTTTACTTTCAAAAGTGAATTTTTTTAAACTTCAGATTAAGTTTTTGCATTATCTTTTATAAATATACAGTTATGTTTATGTATGTTGTTACACGGTGAAAGCATCTTTCCGTCCTTTAGCCTTTGTCTACAATACACACTATTGTTTGAATGGATTTCTCGAACTATAGAACGCCAACTTTTTTTCGTATATACACATAACTATGCCTGAAGGTAAACTTTTTTATTTTACGTCAAGATAACAGAATAACTGATAATATTCAGTGAAGAAGAGAAAAAAAATATGCTTCATTTTGATTTTCAATACTTCTGTTCGATTCCGTCTTATCTATTTTAAGATAGTATGGTGTATCTCGTTAATACTACTATTATTATGGTGATTACTTTCAGATATTAAATAAATATAATAATACATTTTCAATTTGTCCATGTGTGTGCGTGTGGCTATCGATGCACTGGTGTCTACTGTCAACCACCAAAGTTCAACAACTTCCTAGTTGATTGCTGATCCGACTAGTGCATATGCGTATGACACTGAACGTTTATTTGGATTGAAGACGAAATAGAATAGCTATGCGTTTAAAATAATGATAATGATTGGCTGATTGATTGTCTGTCAGTCTAACTAAAGATGTGATTAATACAAACTACATTTTGATTGGTTCATTTCCAATCATCATTCAGCTGTCCACTTTGGGTTGTTAAGGTGAGTCATAAGTTCAGGTAAAGAGGGCAGGTTGGGGCTAGCAATCCTACCCCGTAAAACAAATCCAATCGCTAAATAAACTTCAAAGCACAAACAAAATATGAGACATTAAAGCAAACTTCTTCCTAGCCGGAATCTAAGAGACGAAATGATGCCGGTTGGTGAAAGCCTTCGAGAAGCCAGTCAGCCGATGTGTCTTCTCTCGATGAAAGTGAAAGTAAACATGGGGACATGGAATGTCCACACCATGTATGAACCTACCAAGACTGCTCAGATTGCAAGAGAGGTGAGAAGGTATGGTATAGAAGTGCTTGGAATTCGCGAAAGCAGATGGAATGGGAGTGGACTCTCCAAACTGTCAACTGGAGAATCAATAATCTACTCCAATATTGTCACCCACACGACAACCACAAGCACACTGAGTTTTCGAGTGGCTATCATGATGTCCCCTTGAAGAGCATCGAAGGCCCACTCTCATGCAGTGGGGACCAATCTCCTCCTCCTCCACGATCGGGATCATGACAGCAAGATTCAACTCAAAAGGAAGGAAAGTCACAATCATACAATGCTACGCTACGCACCTATTATTATTATTATTATTAGTCCCTTGGGTTCCTAGTGGAACATAGGGCTTCAGTAGCACGTCTCCAGTACACTCTGTTCTCTGAGATCTTTTACAGACAACTGCAATCAGATATGAAAAAAACTCATTGTAGAGGTCGGATTCCTAATGGGTTACATGAATGCCAAACTGGGTTAGGGTTAACGTTGTCTATCGAATTCACTCAAACATCTCACGTTTCTCTCACCTTCAACGTCTAACAGTAGTAGTGGCGACCTTGGATTGTCGATGATGAACTGAAATGTGACCTTTGTATGGAAAAGAAGTGTGCACAATTTTTGTCTCTACCTTGACCTTAAGTTAATTTGATCCTTGTTTATTTCGCTTGTTTTTTGACTTCTCCCTTGTTAGGTTAATCTTTACGCTCTTATATCGCCATTATCAGGATTATTATTATTATTACAATATTAAATAGTTTCCGGTGTTACTTTATTTGATGTTCTTAATAACTGCAACTTTTAACAAAACATTTTCTTTTTAATTTAGAGGTAGTATTCATCACGAACTGACATCAGTTGGGGAACCATTGAAAATGTGGGAGTAGTGGACATTTGTTTTGTTTTGGTATGGGACCCACGTCCCTACTAGGAGTCGAACTCACGACCTTCAGGTTTCACGGCGAACGCGTTAACGATTCAGCCACTGAGACCATCGAATTCCCACCCAATCCAATGCTTTCAGTGGTTTCTCTAACTTACTTCATTCTGTGATAAACACTAGTTTAAAATTAAAATCCCCATTAACTTCAAAATTCATAACTGTTTGGTTCTCATTAGTGACATGCTTCGAGATGGATATCACGAAGTACTAATTTGAAGCCGTGACATATGAGGCCAACCAGTTGAAAGGGAAGCAGATACCAACTGAAGACCTGGCGTGGTAGCCGTGGTATATAGTGAACTCATAGAAGTTGGGAACTGTATACCACTGGAAACCGACTCAGTGACTGAAGGGTTAACACCTTCGTCATGAAACCTGAAGGTCCTGAGTCCGATCTCTAGCCGGATCATGCGTGCATACTGCCTAGGAGTCCGATACTAGGGCAGAACAGCCGTCCAGCTCCCCCAGATTTCCAATGGTCCCCCAGCTGGTTTCAGTTCATGACGAATACTACCTGTAAAACATTTCCTACTCATTTCAATTAACCCGCTGTCTCATTTATGTTACCTAATCGCTTTGTATGCTAATTAACTCTAACACTTCACCACTCCTTTTGTAATCTATGTGCACCCTATGAATGGCCTAAAAACCTTACGTAACCCCTCTTTGTTACCGTTCAATCTTTACGTCATCAACTATGAACACCATTACAACTATGGCCATCATTATTGTTATTTCAATCTCCAATTATTTAATTACGCAATGCATTTGGGGTTCGAGTCCCAATAGGGAACAACACCACTAATCACTGGGATGCAGGCACAAGGAACTGACGAGTGATTCACAAATAGAAAGAAACGTGCCTCCTGGATTCCTCGGCCAGCTACAACCAACTGCATCTGCACAGGAGTTCTTACACCAAGAGAGGTCGTTCAATTTGATTCAGTATAACAAGAGAGAATTACAAGCATATCAACAAATAATAATCCTATTATTTAAGTTCAATCTTCCTCACAGATTTCAGTCTTTAACTATCATGAGGATATATGAATATACAGTTTAAAGATAAATTCGTTGAAAAGATTCCTCTTCTCTGAATATCTTGTTTTTTATCCAACTATCTGGTAGATGTGTACGTGTTTTGTTTACTAAGGATCAAATAATCATTATTTAGCGATGAGTTACATTCGAGTAGAGTGAAAATCATAGAAGCACAACTTAGGCACTGAGGTAGAATATAATTCCATTTAAGTGTGCTTATTAGAAAGGTCATATAGTGAAGCAACACTGTCTTTTACTGGGTAACGTTTTGGCCACAACTTACTGTCCATATTCACATCAGGTAACTCCATAACTTTTAGATATGGTGTATATGGTTCTAATCCTCTCTTTCTTTCTTTGTAACGAAGGTAGTAGAATTTTCCATATATCTGGGATAGGTGCAGAATCATTTAGTATTTGGGTGAAAAATCACATGAATACAATAACGAAAAAACAGGAGTGAAGTGTTACGTAAGAGATGAAAATTACTACAGGTACTATTATGAATAAACAAGGGCAGAAAACAAATTAGAAGAACGAGATGGGGTGGGAGGTTTAAAATATTGTTTTTTTTGTATAAAATTTCCCAGTGAACCTGATGACTCTGGTGGAGGCCATGGTAGACAAGGTCAATGCACAAATTTCTTTTGATTACATAGATCAGGTTTTCTTGCGTTGATTCCAACGGCTTCGCCTACAGATTAGAGACGTAATCTTTCCTTTATCAGAGGATTTCAAAGAAGTACAATATATCACAGAAGACACGTGATCAGGTTAACAAATATCAGCCTGGTTAGAGAAGGAATTATCATTTTTGCTATCTGAGAGCCGTGGTTTGGCAGGCTAGTACTGATACTGGGCGATAATTCAGGGTGAGATGAAAATTTGGACCACAGCCGGATTCCAACCATTGACCACTGGGTTCCCAGCCCGATCTTCTATCAATTGAGCTATGAGATCCGACTGCTGACCAGATTTTTATTTCATAATATGATGCTTCTCCTCTCCTAATTTAGTTAGATTGGGATTGGAATGAGAAGTCCTGACTAGGCAGCTAATGTGAATACAATGAAGCGGTAATAATGCGTGATGAATTCACATGGTAATTGTTCGACAAAACATCTGGCGATTGAAGTGAGATAAAAATCCGGTCAGTTGTCGGACATTGTAGCTCAGTTGGTAGAGCATCGAGTGGGAAACCCAGTGGTCACTGGTTGGAATCCGGCAGTGGTTCGAGTTTTCATTTCACCTTCAATCATCACACAGAGAAAGAATTGACAAAGCGCAGTCATTTCGGATTTTGTAAGTAGTTGACATGGAATCAAGTTAGATTGTGCCGTTTCCTTGATTTATCGTGTTCCCTACAACCTGCCCTTAGAGTACGACTACATTACACATGAATTATTTCATAAGTAAACTTGTATGGATGCGTCATTGAAAAATCTTGTTTTTTGTTGACATACTCTTCCTTTCAATAATAACATTATGATTCCATGTTATGAACATAATATCGTCGTAGTTCTTGACCCTGGATTGTTTGTAGTAGACCCAGGATACCCACCAGCTCCACAACAGACTCAGAGTCCCTGAGGAAGACGTGGATGTCTCCATCTTCAAACGTTGCTAGCCACAGAATCTTCATCATTTCCAGAAGCAGCGACACCGATTGTGGGAACCGAGAAGACTGAGATGCAGGTAGGAATATTTATCAATGACATCTTGTACAGTGGTCATCAAATATTGTACATCTTCCACTAAGACAGCCATTTGCAAAGTGTGCTTCATTTCCCCTTCTGCTTGTATCTTAATTTGATCTTAATACGCCCAAGTTGTCTTTTACGTTTATCTGGGCGTAATCTTTACCCATTGCTAGTAGTTGCCTATTATTTCTGCCACCCTCTCAACAGATACTACTTATATCCATCTGGTTAGTAACGCCCACTACAGTTTAGTATAGGTGTTCGCTGGGAAGACAAGTGTTCAGTCAAAAGGGGAATCATATTTC